TGGTTGGATTTATATTGAGGTTTTTAATCCATTTGCACTTGAGTTTTGTGTATGGCAATATGTACGGATCTATTCTCATTCTTCTACATGTTGACATCCAGTTATGCCACACCTTTTGTCCGGAGGCATCACCATCCCTGACATAGAGCTCTAATACATAGCTACAGTTATGAAAACAGCTTGGTATTGGCATAAAAACAGAGACATTGACAAATGGAATCGAATTGAAGACCTGGATTTTAATTCACACACCTATGAACATCCGATTATTGACAAAGAAGTGAAAATTATACAATGGAAAAAAGAAAGCATCTTTAAGAAATGTAACTTTCAAATTCAATAAATAGGTAATGTTGATTTCAACGTATTTATTCTGTGTTTTAACACCTAGTTTGGCTCTATGTTCTTGAAATAGTTGTTTTATTTCCTTTACTGAAGTGAAGGCTCATGAGAACAGATGTTCAGTCTTCTCCTCCACCTGACTATCTTGGGATAGGGTAGGTGGAACATGTTTCTTCCTTTATAGAAGTACTTCTATCTAGCTAATCTTCTCTTTTCTTGGGTTAGCTAGAGAGTAGAGGTTTTTTGTATTTGTTTTGGCCATGGCCATGACTTTGGAGGTTACTGGTATTTCATGCTCAAAATCTTGGCAAGATTAAACAGAAACAGACCAGGAGCAGCAGACCATTACAGTGTTCTCTGAGTTTTGAGCTCCTTGGCAGGTATTCTGCTTCTCTTCAGCTTTCAGGTTCTCTGTACTTGATTCATCGGTGCAATTCACTAATTTCACTTATATTTGGTGGGAAAACAGAGTAAATCTTAGCTGCTCCCTTTCCCTGCATGCAGAATTTTACTCTTCTACCTTTTAGTCAGTTGGAAACACTTTGGTTTGATTTGTCCATTGTCAAGTCTACCCCTAAAGACTCTGATCTTGTTATAAGTCAAGTTGGGAATTGTTTTCTTTAAGTAAGAGAGTAGCATTACTCATCTATATTGAAATGATTAGTATATTTCTTTTATACTTTATTACTATTTAATGTTTGCTGTGTGCCAATCTGTAAGATATACTTTAACATAGTTATTATTTTACCCAGAAGGGCTCAACTTTTGTTCTACCTGTTGTTTTTGTATTTATGACTTTAATCACTTTTTTTGGTCCTTTTTATTGGTTTAGACTATTTCTATTCAGTATACTTAAATGCTTACCTGTTTCATATACAGTAACAGGCATTACCTAAGTTCCTCTTTCCTGATCTAGCTGTTTTCTCAATTGCTTGATATCTGCTTTGTGAAAGCATACAACATTTGGACCTACTCTTCTGCCCCCATC